GGGTTAGGGTTAGGGTTAGGGTTTTTTTTTTTTTAAGTGCCTAGTAGTCATATCATATCGCACCTATCTGCCGGGTGCAGAATTGAGCCAGAGCGAGAGCGCCATCTGTCGTGGAGTTTGGCATAGTGGCAGCCATAGGTGGCAGCACTGTTTGTTATGATCGTGGACGAGAAATCGTAACGTAATACATTTTACAGAATAATGAGATGTAACTTGTAACCCAATACAAGATTGTAAAGAGTAGACTCTTGTGTCGTGATACGTTATTTTATCTATTCAAGCCTACATAGAACCAGATAATACGCTAGTACTACAGCCTAGGATTTCTTCTCGTATCGTATATACTAATTACTATAATCTCCTGATAATATATTGTCCCACTCTTGACAGTCTTGTAATACACAAGGCAGTTCTGGTCACAGGCACAGGCACTTGGACCGTTTCAATAATAAAATGATGGTTAATAAATACAACTTGTCAGTACTACTAGTAGTAGTACTACAGTACCAGCAATAGTCTTAATGTTTGATTTGACCTAACAACTTCACTTCAACACCGTTAAATACACCGATGGCGATGCAACACATAGCCCGCACGCCATTGTGCATGCACAAATACACAGTACTGTCAGTAGGTTAGAGTACCTACTGTGTATTTGTGCATGCACAATGGCGTGCGGGCTATGTGTTGCATCGGTGTATTTAACGGTGTTGAAGTGAAGTTATTAGGTCAAATCAAACATTAAGACTATTGCTGGTACTGCAGTAGTACTGACAAGTTGTATTTATTAACCATCATTTTATTATTGAAACGGTCCAAGTGCCTGTGGTCACAGGCACTTGTAGCCCGACCAGGCTGTTCGACGGATTGTCTATACTATAGGGTATTCTAACCCTAGCAATACCGTTTCTTGGAGCTAAGGCACTTGAAGCGTTTCAACTGTAAACAGGGTGTTGCTATCCCCCGGGCGTGGAGCATCATGATGCAAAAACTCTAACCCTAACCCTAACCCTAACCCTAATCCTAACCCTAACCCTAACCCAGACCATAACCCTAACCCTAACCCTAACCTAATACTAATACTAATACCGGTACTAGTGCTGCCACGTTGCGGTGTCCCTCCACGCCCGGGGGATAGCATTACCCCTGTAAACACACGCCGCCGCCATTGCGCGCACACTGACACATAAATATATATTTATGTGTCAGTGTGCGCGCAATGGCGGCGGCGTGTGTTTACAATTGAAACGCTTCAAGTGCCTGTGGTTCTGGTGAAGGTGCGAGGATATTCTGGGAATGTAAACTTTCATCTCTTCTGAGGGGAAATTAGACAACGGCGGTAGGCCTAATGGCCAGTTTGGGGAATGATGGATGATGGAACGCGCATGATGGATTCAAAGAAGCCCAATACTGGCAGTGCCAGTATAGTGGTGATACTCCATTAGGGCAGATGGGGTCGTTGTCGTATCACTATCAGGTACTACAGATATGTACCCGAGGTAGTTTTAGGTTGTTTAGTATTGTGTATACATATATGTACCTCGGGTACATATCTGTAGTACCTGATACGACAACGACCCCTTGAGCTCCATTAGGAATGTTCCCAACTTCAATGTCATTAATGGTCATAATAACATATATATATTTGGTCATGGGCATATATTAGTTTGTTGTTTAATTGAGCGTTAACCCCGGGGGGTGGGCGAAGGCACTGATTGTTACAGTTGCGTGGGCATGTTTATTGCTGTATAGTGTATATGTAGGGGTGGCCACCGCTGGTATGAGGGCGCGACAGCAAAACTTTCCCGGAATCAAGGAAAAAGCTGCAATCGGGAATGACACACGTGTGCCGGCACGCAAAAAGAAACGTTGCTGAGAATTTCATTACGATTTTCCATGTATATAGTCAGAAGCACGTGGTGGTCTATTTATTTTTGGATTGACACTATTTTGACAACGGCGTAAATACACGAACATTTTCACAACGGCGTTGTTAAATTTGACAACGGTGGTGCGCCGCAGTGCCTTCTATGTAGAAGAAACTTTGTAGTAAGGCCAGCTACTGTACTACTATTACTAGTAGTTCACTACTTGCCCGGCCCACTAGCACTGTACTGTACAAACCTAGTCCCTATAGCTATGTATGGGCTTGGTGTTAGGAGTAGCTCTACCCGTGTGCCCCGTTCGTTTTGTTTCAGACGTAAGCCTTCCGCACGTCTGTTGGTGTTGCGGAGAGTTGGGCTACTTGGGTATAGAGCTGAGTTTGGATTAGCTCTAGAACTATAGCCCCCCTCCGCTCTGCCGCAGGCTGCATCCTGCGGCAGATCGGAGGGCTATATAGTTCTAGAGCTAGGTTTGGATAGGATATGGGTAAGTTTAGGATTAGGGGCTTAGGAACAGAGTAATATTGATGATGATTTACTTATTGCTGCCCCAAAATAACCTTATAGAAAATTAGAGGTACATTGCAGACTAGATTACGTAATCGTTATTAGTCAAGGCCTTATAATTCAAACGTCGACATAGTTGAGAATAGTTCTGTAGGCGTAGTCCCTTCACTTCCACTACAGGTGTGTGGAAGGTTTGCATCTATCGCAGTGCGAAGGGGTATGCAGGTAGAGCTAATTCAACAACATTTAGAGTAGGCCCATTGTATGCGATTATAAGACAGTACTGGGGTAATTAACAATCTCCATCTCCTGTATATGTACATAATCTGAATTACCATTAAGTATTTACTATTTTGTCTAATTTCACTCTTGCCAGTGCTGATACTAATGGTAAATACACCTTGTAATACAATACTAGTATATATATATCATATGTTTTGTAAGGCAACCCACATTTCTATAAGACAAGACTACTTGTTTGGCAGATATGCAAGGCACTTATACATGCCAGAGAGGGTTTACTACTGTAATACTGTAAAATGTCCATAGAAGGTCCACCTTTTCTAACTATAATGATGCTTAATACTTCAGCAGTGGCTCACAACAAACCAAACCAAATGCTACTTATTTCTATCGGCTAGTGACATTTCGAAAATTTACCAGTAGATGGCACCCATAGACACTTGGCCTGAATAAGTGTGACACAAAAACTAATTTAAAATACTTGAAGTGTATATACGTACGTGACTTTAAGGAAACTTGCCAGCGATGTGATGTAAATTTCTGACAAGTTTGACACACCGACACAGTTTGTCAGACACTGTCTAAATCACTTGGCAGAATTGCATGATATTTTCACAAAACCAATCCATACCAATCCATCCAGTTTTCATCCATACTAGCTGTCTATAAGGTATCTATCTATCTTACACACACAATGCAGATCAGAACACTAATATTAAATATCACCCCAAAAAATAAGAAAATAGCTTTTTTACTAGGACAAGATGTGAACAATTGGTGGAAGGCTACAGTTACGTTCCACCTGTAACACAACTGGCAGAGTGCTTACATGTTGTCTATAGATTTGTTCATAGTAATACTGATCAAAATTCCCATTTTGCCAAAGTATTAACCAAAAGTGCCAAAGTATTACTAATTACCCATAGAATGAACATGGAACATGGAGAATGAAAACAAAGGTCAGGAGTATACAATTTCAAAGCAAACAAAGCAATATACATAGAATTATATAAATTTTCACCATGAAATCATAACAACACCAACTGGATTTTAAACAAGTGGCTGTTTCTGTTTTATATCGATACAACTGATCTCTATAATATATTTATATAATAGAGATCAGTGATTGATACGCATACAGCCACTTGTTTAGATTGCAGCGAATACCGCTATAATTTCATGGTCGCAATGTGTACAATTATATATTGAGTATATTAAATAGATATGTTCGTGATTTTGCCAGTCCTGGATTCCACATCGCTCACAACTGCAAGCCATTTATATAATACGTGCTACAGTGTGAGTTCGTAATGCTAAATAAGCAAAATTACTGGCTTAAGCGAGCATGTTACTCAACAAATAATAACAAGTTACTTTATGTGATTCGTGTTTAGAAGAGCTCATCATGGGACTTAAAGCTCTGCATGTGTGAACCGAGTTGGACGTGACGTGAATGGATGAAAAGGGAGATGTCACTCTACAAAAATGTGGAGTGCGATTTAAACCGCCAACTCTCGTCATTGTGTATGCACATAATGACACAGGTAACGTTGAATTCTCAAGAGATCAACCATGTTCGTAATTTCCCCCTCTGTTAGAACAAGATAACCACGTTACCCCAGATATTGGTGGAATGGTGCTTGGTTGATTATGATCAGCAAAGTTGCACGTGTTTCACGCTTTCATACCCAAAACTGTTTGTTGCCGTACATTGTTTTTAGAACGTTGTCTCACATATAGAGCTCCCTTTTAATCATGCTGATAGGTCCGTTGTAAAATTATATAACATATTGTGTAACTGTGTTTGGTACCAACAGTAACTTATGACAATCCATAGGATAGAGTTGTATGAAATGATAAATATTGGATAACAAAAACTAATGATGTAAGGTTTTGATAAAGTGAAAGTATAAGTAACTGCCAATTTCCACATAAGTGCATATATATATATATATAATATTTGTTCAAATATTCAGTTAAGCATGCTTATTTTCTGCACATAAAATTTCTTTATTACATGATGGAAAAAATTTAAAATTTAGTAAATTTTTAAGGTAAGCTACGCAAACGATCTATGCCAGTACGTTTGCTGAAACAAGAGTCGAAGGTTTCGCAAGTTGCGGAGGAACTTTGTCAACATCCCAAACATGGAATGTACTTGAAGAAAATACCTCTGTGGCAGTTGGAAAAGATGCTGTGCCTTATGCAGGTAAAGGATATTGTCGTTAAAAGGGATATATAAAAAGAATAATTATCTTGTGCTCAGCATTAGCACTATAGTTTTTAGTTGACCGTTGAGCCATCTGGAGATGATGTAGAAACATTGCTGAACGGTGGTTCTTACTTGATGACCCCAATGACATAATCATACCGACTACGATCACCCTAAGTACCAATAATTAGTGACAGTCTCGTACATTATATAAGTAAATAGTCTTTTGTGCAACTTAAATCAGTTTTAGCTAATTTTCGTCAATAGATGGCACTAGTAGTTTAGTGAACAGGTATATATCGCACCTGTCTTCACGTGTGAAGCTCTATTTCACGATACAACCGACTGACATTCTACCATCATTTCTCTTTCAGAATAAGTTGAAAGGTTTAAGCCTTGATGAAAGCCTTGAAGCGACAACTCAAGAATATTCAATAAATGCAAATGAGGATTTGAATAAACTGGATGATGAAGCACTTGAAAAGAAAAAAACTGGTATGAAAACTTATAAAGCTACTATGAGAGGCTGGTGCTCTTAACTGGTCTGTGTGTGAAGGTAGTTTTAAAATAAATTCATCATTTAAGTAAAATTTGTGTAATATATGGTCAAAAAAGTATAAAAGGGTCACTCAAAAGAAATTCTTAGTGCACTTTAAAGGCATGTGTCTGTTCTATACAGATTTCCTCTAACACAGGTTTGATTCTTTAGATAAATATAGATGATGTCCCATGTCCTCTTTCATCTCCAGCCAGACAGTCATACCCATTATACTGCATTACATAGTTGTTTGTATATTTCAGTCATGAGTGAGAGTTTTGAAAAGAACAGGAAAAAGCCGGGTGACTTGGACTATGTCTATGACATAGAGGTGGATTTCAACTCTGTAAATGCTTCTGGTCAGAGTGAGTGGGACAGTGATTGACATTGCTAACAAGACGAAGATTATGTTCTTTGAGATGTTTTATATAATGATGAAAAAGTTTAAGTAGCATTGTGAACTAAGAGCCAGCCGACTTGTAATGTATTTGTTGTTGACGGCTGATGAAGTGGTGAAATGTTATTAAATTAGGTATGTATTGCCCCACTTCCACACCCACTGTTAAAATTATTTTAGGTTAGTGAAGCCAGTTTTTTATATATTGCATATGTTTCCCTGGTGGACGTCTTACATGGACATAATTACCAGCACTTTGAGCATTTCCCAGAAGATTGTGCAGTCTTGGCATTAGAATTCCAGACTATTAAATGTGACAAATTTAGACCACCCAAAAATTCACTAGCAATGCCACGATAAGGTACAATTAGTACATTGTATGACTAAGTAAGAACAACAGAATGTGAGATGGATCCATATTTCTATTGTTCTGTGAATATTCCGAAAGTTATGTTCATATTATATGGTACATGTAAAAGTAGGTTATAAAATAACACATATTCCACACCACTGCATGGTACACACTACAAAAAAATACTTATAGATTTGCTGCGAAATGCTATGGAACTTTTATTCACATCGACTCGTTATGTGTTCGAAGATATGCTCACCTAATCAGTATTAATGGCTCGTAAGCACTGATGCTCGTATAGTTAATTAAGGCAGTCGTCACCAAATTGAATATCTGTATTATGTTTATAGTAGTTTCTATCGAATCTAGAAATTCTTTCTATTCAAAGTAATGCACACATTTGCACGGCTTTCTCTGCCAAAAATTACGGGTAAGCAACTAACGTGCTCGAAAATCCTAGAGTGTAGATTGTGTAGTGCCAACACCGTTGTCTGGACTCCATCATTGCTGTAGACATTCAATGCTTATATGATCTATAACCATTTCAGGAGATGTTGAGGATTGGAAATATTCACAGGCGATGTTTTGTTGATTTTGGAAGAGGGGTGTATTTAGCAATGTATTCACACATGAGATGTTGTGGCGGTTGGTTTTGGGGGTGACACCGGAAACTGAAGCCTTTTTTAATGCTGTGAATTGTTTTAGATTGCGCATGTTTTACACCCAAAGAATTCGTGTTTTGCATGTAAATGCGTTTATACGTGTAACTTTGTTTGCGTTCGGGTGATTCATGATATTTATGGCTACAACATTTAATTATCTTCTAACATGCTGAGTAGATGCATGAGTATAGTTCCCCTGTTTAATAAAATTGTAAAAAGCAAGGTCAGAAAAAGAATTTAATAGCTAATTATATAAATTACAAAAAATATATGAAATCGTTTTACTTTCGAATTTGTGTTACAAAATATTGATGAAAGCAGATTTGACTGAACTTAAATTCTGAAAAGTTATTTTGTACCTAAATAGATGGTGGGTCTAAAGCAGTTTCTAGGGGGTCAGGTTCCGCGTTTAAGGACAGCGTACACACGCACGTACGCACGCACGCTAACACAAGTGTTCTTCTTCCTCCTCTCGTCTTATCTCTGTTTCTCAGTATCTATTGTCATTCTCGCGACAAGTGTGGGCAGTGTAGCGCATATTCCATAACCTTCTCGTAGTCGCTATGCGACCGTGAATGAGGAGACAGACCATGCGGCGCACAGTTTCTTTTATATATAAAGTGGAGTTTTTTGTTGGAACAGAATATGCCAGTGATATGTCTGTCTTTTTTCTAGGTTGTTGTATCGAACAGGCTAGTCAGTTCGCCCTGCTGCATCGTCACTAGTCAGTACGGCTGGTCGGCCAACATGGAGCGCATCATGAAAGCACAGGCCTTGCGTGACACGTCAACGATGGGTTACATGGCAGCTAAGAAGCACCTCGAAGTCAACCCAGATCATCCGATTGTCGAAACCCTCAAGAAGAAGGTTGACGCCGATAGGAACGACAAGGCTGTGAAGGATCTGGTCATGCTGCTGTTCGAAACATCGCTGCTGACATCCGGTTTCACGCTAGAGGACCCAGCAAGCCACGCCGCCAGAATTCACCGCATGATCAACTTGGGACTGGGAATCGACGAGGAGGACATCCCGATTGGTCCCGATGTGCCAACAGATGATATGCCCCCATTGGAGGGAGAAGATGAGGATATGTCAAGAATGGAAGAAGTAGATTAAGCCTCAACGTCTGTCATCATCAATTCCTTCGATCTTTCGTGGAGCGTTACTTTGTTTGAATGTGTAAATTCAAATTTCCGATTGTTGTAAATATTATAGCTTGAAGTGTCATCTCATGCCGTCTGTTTTCAGATAGGTTGCAAGTTTGTGTTATGTTTTTTGCAACATTGCTGCATCATGTAACTACTTGAACACTGGTCAATTATACAAGTATTTTTAGCACCTTGTATCTATCTGAAGATGTCATTCTGAATAAACGTAATTGGTTCGCAATATCTGCCTTCGTTTTGCTTCTACATTATCTGTATTTGGGTTCATGTTATTAACTGATTGACTGTAACGAGATATCAAGAATGTTATTGAACATGTTGAATGAAATATTGCTTCTTTCCTTCTGCTATTGTGTTTTCTATTAATATCCTGGTCTCCCTTGATTCTGCTTTAATATCATGCTTTAATGGGAGGAATGTGAACCCGTTGCACACGGTTTAAACTGATTATTTATTTAAAAAAATTCACTTCATGGGGAAATGAAACTGACTGAAATCGATCCATAATTGTAAAGTTATGACAATAGGTGGCGCCTTTTGGCTAGCATAGTGGCAAACTGCATGCAGCGCTCCCTGCCCACACTCAGGATAATAGTAATCAGTAGTAGTCGTAATTCTCAATCAGTAGAATTGAGGCAGAAGGCAGAAAGGTTCGATATGATATGACTACTAGGCACTTTAATAAAAAAAAAAATTTTTTAGAGTTAGGGTTAGGTTTTTTTTTTGAATGTTCCAATCAATGTCATTAATGGTCATAATAACATATATTATATTTGGTCGGATGCGGGCGATCATATGTGGAGTGTTGCTGTTTGAATACTCGTGCGCTTAAGCCCGCGTGGGGGTGGTGGGCGCAAAGTATGCGACTGAATTGAAGTTACAGTTGCGTGGATGTTTTATTGCGTATAGTTATAATGTAGGGGTGGCCACTGCTGGTATGAGGCGCGGACAGCAAAACTTTCCCCGAATCAGGAAAAAGCTGCAATCGGAATGACACACGAGTGCCGCGCACGCAAAAAGAAACGGTTGCCTGAGAATTCATTACGATTTCCATGTATATAGTTCAGAAGCACGTGGTGTCTATTTATTTTTGGATTGCACTTTTTGAGCAACGCGCGGGTAATAACGAACATTTTCACAACGGCGTTGTGCTTAAATTGATGTAAGTGGCCGTTCTACTAGAAGAACTTTGTAGTTAAGGCAGCTACTGCTACTACTATTACTAGTAGTTCACTACTTGCCTGGCCCACTAGCACTGTTACTGTACAAACCTAGTCGCCTATAGCTATGTATGGGCTTGGTGTTTAGGAGTAGCTCGTACCCGTGTTTCCCCGTTCGTTTTGTTTCAGACGTAAGCCTTCCGCACGTCTGTTGGTGTTGCGGAGAGTTGGGGCTACTTGGGTATAGAGCTGGTTTGGATTAGCTCTAGTAACTATTAGCCCCCTCCGCTCTGCCGCAGCTGCCATCCTGGCGGTAGATCGGAGGGTATAGTTCTAGAGCTAGGTTTGGATAGGATATGGGTAAGTTTAGATTAGGGGCTTAGGAACAGAGTAATATTGATGATGATTTACTTATTGCTGCCCAAAAATAACCTTATACGAAAATTAGAGGTACATTGCAGACTAGATTACGTAATCTTATTAGTCAAGCCTTATAATTCAAACGTCGACATAGTTGAGAATAGTTCTGTAGCGTAGTCCCTTCACTTCCACTACAGGTGTGTGGAAGGTTTGCATCCTATCGCAGTGCGAAGGGTATGCAGGTAGAGCTAATTCAACAACATTTAGAGTAGGCCCATTGTATGCGATTATAAGACAGTACTGCGGTAATTAACAATCTCCATCTCCTGTATATGTACATAATCTGAATTACCATTAAGTATTTACTATTTTGTCTAATTTCACTCTTGCCAGTGCTGTACTAATGGTAAATACACCTTGTAATACAATACTAGTATATATATATCATATGTTTTGTAAGGCAACCCACATTTCTATAAGACAAGACTACTTGTTTGGCAGATATGCAAGGCACTTATACATGCCAGAGAGGGTTTACTACTGTAATACTGTAAAATGTCCATAGAAGGTCCACCTTTTCTAACTATAATGATGCTTAATACTTCAGCAGTGGCTCACAACAAACCAAACAAATGCTACTTATTTCTATCGGCTAGTGACATTTCGGAAATTTACCAGTAGATGGCACCCATAGACACTTGGCCTGAATAAGTGTGACACAAAAACTAATTTAAAATACTTGAAGTGTATATACGTACGTGACTTCAAGGAAACTTGCCAGCGATGTGATGTAAATTTCTGACAAGTTTGACACACCGACACAGTTTGTCAGACACTGTCTAAATCACTTGGCAGAATTGCATGATATTTTCACAAAACCAATCCATACCAATCCATCCAGTTTTCATCATACTAGCTGTCTATAAGGTATCTATCTATCTTACACACACAATGCAGATCAGAACACTAATATTAAATATCACCCCCAAAATAAGAAAATAGCTTTTTTACTAGGACAAGATTGAACAATTGGTGGAAGGCTACAGTTACATTCCACCTGTAACACAACTGGCAGAGTGCTTACATGTTGTCTATAGATTTGTTCATAGTAATACTGATCAAAATTCTCATTTTTGCCAAAGTATTAACCAAAAGTGCTAAAGTTTAACTAATTACCCATAGAATGAACATGGAACATGGAGAATGAAAACAAAGGTCAGGAGTATACAATTCATCGCAAACAAAGCAATATACATAAGAATTATATAAATTTTCACCACGAAATCATAACAACACCAACTGGATTTTAAACAAGTGGCTGTTTCTGTTCTATATCGATACAACTGATCTCTATAATATATTTATTTAATAGAGATCAGTGATTGATACGCATACAGCCACTTGTTTAGAATGCAACTAATACCTCTATAATTTCATGGTCGCAATGTGTACAATTATATAATATTGAGTATATTAAATAGATATGTTTCGTGATTTTGCTAGGCCTGGATTCCACATCGCTCACAACTGCAAGCCATTTATATAATACGTGCTACAGTGTGAGTTCGTAATGCTAAATAAGCCAAATAAGCAAATAAGCATATTACTCAACAAATAATAACAAGTTACTTTATGTGATTCGTGTTTAGAAGAGCTCATCATGGGACTTAAAGCTCCGCATGTGTGAACCGAGTTGGACGTGACGTGAATGGATGAAAAGGGAGATGTCACTCTACAAAAAATGTGTGAGTGCGATTCAAACGCCAACTCTCGTCATTGTGTATGCACATAATGACACAGGTAACGTTGAATTCTCAGAGATCAACCATGTTCGTAATTGCCCCTCTGTTAGAACAAGATAACCACGTTACCCCAGATATTTGGTGGATTGGGGCTTGGTTGATTATGATTAGCAAAGTTGCCACGTGTTTCACGCTTTCATGGCCCAAAACTGTTTGTTGCGTACATTGTTTTTAGAACGTTGTCTACATGCACATATAGAGCTCCTTTTAATCATGCTGATAGGTCCGTTGTAAAATTATGTAACATATTGTGTGAACTGTGTTTTGGTACCAACAGTAACTTATGGACAATCCAATAGGATAGAGTTGTATGAAATGATAAATATTGGATAACAAAAGCTAATGATGTAAGGTTTTGATAAAGTGAAAGTATAAGTAACTGCCAATTTCCACATAAGGGCATTATATATATATATATAATATTTTGTTCAAATATTCAGTTAAGCATCTTATTTTTGCGCATAAAAATTCTTTATTACATGATGAAACAAATTTAAAATTTAGTACATTTTTAAGGTAAGCTACGCAAACGATCTATGCCAGTACGTTTGCTGAAACAAGAGTCGAAGGTTTCAGCAAGTTTGCGGAGGAATTTGTCAACATCCCAAACATGGAATGTACTTGAAGAAAATACCTCTGTGGCAGTTGGAAAAGATGCTGTGCCTTATGGCAGGTAAAGGATATTGTCGTTAAAGGATATATAAAAAGAATAATTATCTTGTGCTCAGCATTAGAACTATAGTTTTAGTGTTGACCTTGAGCCATCTGAGATGATTGTAGAAACATTGCTGAACGCGTGGTTCTCACTTGATGACCCCAATGACATAATCATACGACTACGATCACCCTAAGTACCAATAAATTAGTGACAGTCTCGTACATTATATAAGTAAATAGTCTTTTGTGCAACTTAAATCAGTTTTAGCTAATTTTTCGTCAATAGATGGCACTAGTAGTTTAGTGAACAGGTATATATCGCACCTGTGTTCACGTGTGAAGCTCTATTTCACGATACAACCGACTGCACATTCTACCATCATTTCTCTTTCAGAATAAGTTGAAAGGTTAAGCCTTGATTGAAAGCCTTGAAGCGACAACTCAAGAAATATTCAATAAATGCCAAATGAGGATTTGAATAAACTGGATGATGAAGCACTTGAAAGAAAAAAACTGGTATGAAAAACTTATAAAGCTACTATGAGAGGCTGGTGCTCTAACTGGTCTGCTGTGTGAAGGTAGTTTCAAAATAAATTCATCATTTAAGTAAAATTTGTGTAATATATGGTCAAAAAAGTATAAAAGGGTCACTCAAAAGAAATTCTTAGTGCCACTTTAAAGGCATGTGTCTGTTCTATACAGATTTCCTCTAACACAGGTTTGATTCTTTAGATAAATATAGATGATGTCCCAATGCCTCTTTCATCTCCAGCCAGACAGTCATACCCATTATACTGCATTACATAGTTGTTTGTATATTTCAGTCATGAGTGAGAGTTTGAAAAGAACAGGAAAAAGCCGGGTGACTTGGACTATGTCTATGACATAGAGGTGGATTTTAACTCGTAAATGCTTCTGGTCAGAGTGAGTGGGACAGTGATTGACATTGCTAACAAGACGAAGATTATTTCTTTGAGATGTTTTTATATAATGATGAAAAAGTTTAAGTAGCATTGTGAACTAAGAGCCAGCCGACTTGTAATGTATTTTGTGTTGACGGCTGATGAAGTGGTGAAATGTTATTAAATTAGGTATGTATTGCCCCACTTCCACACCCACTGTTTAAAATTATTTTAGGTTAGTGAAGCCACGTTTTTTTATATATTACATATGTTTCCCTGGGTGGACGTCTTACATGGACATAATTACCAGCACTTTGAGCATTTCCGCAGAAGATTGTGCAGTC